TTTACGACCCTTTGTCTCTAAGCATGGTAATTTGCAAATGGACTTGAATCGAAATTACTAAAGATTCTCAGGACCCTAATATATATTGCCTATGTACCAATATATAATATACACGCTTGTTTCGATCATAAGAAGGCGAATTCATAGATACTAAGCAAGGTAGGATTACATATAGTGAAAGGATGACAGGAGTGTGTTTCGATTATAAGCCTGCATAACAGTATACAATTTCAAAGACAAAATACACGATGACAATAATATACCCAATGGCCTGAAGGATCATGTGTGTTCATTCAAAGAAAGGTTTTCCTATTAATTAATTAGTAGAAAAGTCCATTTCTACACTGCCTCTTGCCCTTGCCCATCTGATTATGAGCATTTTAAATTATAATATAATCTAATTACGAGTAGGCCTACTCAATTTTTGGAACCTGATTATGTAATCCAGATTACATGTAATCAGTTACTATCCAGCACTGGAATAATATCACCTCATCGCCACTTTTTTTGAAAATACTTATTGAATTCATAGAGTGAAACTTTCGCTGTGTGAGTGTGTGTGTGTGTGAATTGCATTTATTTGTGTCTCAACATCACTCTTGCAGATAATTTTGTTAAGTGAATGTAGGGTATCAGACCGAATCAGACAATCTAAGATTTGGTCAAAACATGGTTGAAACATGAGACGAATTCCACAGAGGCCCAAGACAACAGGATGTTCATAAATCAGATCCTGGCCCCAAGCCTGAACCAACTAGCAGCTTTGAGTAGCTCACAGCATTTAAACAAAAGAACACTTATTGACAATTCCAAGGAGATTGTCAATTTTGGAGCAAGTAATCAAGATTAAATGGTCAAAGAGATGACCACATGACCCTCACGTGATAGTAAACGCAGTCACGAGCCCCGTAAATTGACTTCCCCCACCTCACGACAGAGAACAGACTAAAATTCCTTACAGACATTTTAACTTCTCTGGTCTTCACAGAACGCCTTTAAAATATTAAATGATTCCCTTTGAGCTAAATTGACCTGTTTTCCTTACATGAATATAAGTGTAACTTGAGATGTGAAAGCATCTACTTAGGTAGGCCTATCTATTGGCTTTGTGTGTGTGTATATATATATATATATATTTATATATATATATATATATATATATATATATATATATATA